TTTCAAGTGGCAATTTTTTTGGAGTTAGATGTAATTAGATTATGTTGATATGACTAGTTTGGGGTTCAAATTAACCTTAATAAGACTTCTATTCTTATTTCAGATTTTTGGGTTTCTGGCATGCTTGGGAATTATTCTTGCAATAGGAAATTCAATCTGGGAGAATGAAGTTGGGGGCCAATTCAGAGCTTTCCTCTTTTGGAATGAAGAAAAGAAGAACTCTGTGTTCTCAGGATTCTTAACATTTTGGTCATATATTATTATTCTCAATACAGTTGTACCCATTTCATTATATGTGAGGTAAGATGAGAGTTTTTACTTTAATGAAGTAATTTTGTCTAAAGCTTTTGTTTCACACAATCACTTTAGTTTGTTCTCAAATTACAACAGTGAGGTAGATGTCTCCTCTAAGTCCTTATAATTTTTCACATCTGTTACAAATGAGGCAACTTAGCTGTTTAATTCTGTTTAACTTTTACATTTTCAAGTATGCTACATGCATTCTATTTTCTTCTTGATTCCATCGGGTTTCTTAGGACTGTTTTCCTTTGGAATACGTGGACTACAATATAATCCCATGTAACCTGTTCAATTAGAATTGGGTTGATTTGGGGTAAGAAAAGAAGAGCATTAATGGGTATCTATAAAGATTGTGCCTCTCCATCACCACTCTGGCTCCAGACACCTGGATTTAGGTCCTTTTCCACTACTTACTAGCTCCATAACATTCGGCAAGTTACTTCACCATCCAGTGTCTCAGTTTCCTTACTCCAAAAGTGGAGAGCATAATAGGTCTAGTTCATAGGATTGTACGAGGAGTGAATAAATGCCTGTAAAACTCTTAGAGGGATATCCAATATACTGTAAAAGCTTCATGGAGATTAGCTTCTTCTATTATTATTGGTACTCATAAATGAGTGCACACATAGTAGGTAGCATTCTTAGATAAGAAATATGGTTCATAATTCCCACTACATCTTGATCTATCATTTCTAGGTATAGTTTGTGGAACTCATCTCTCTCTATACATGTGCATGTGCGTGCGTGCGTGTGTGTGTATGTGTGTGTGTGTGTGTTTGATAAGACTTAGAATTTGGCCATGGAGTCTGGAATTGAGACATTCTTGATGCTAACCCTACCATGATTGAGCCAGACAGCCAGAGACACCACAGCCAAGATGAGGCTTGGTTGTTTGACACTCCTCATCGTCAGTACTTTAACAATATACAAAATCACCAGTTCTGAATCCCCACTAATCTTTGCTAGCCTCTTTTTTTTCTGTCTTTCCAGAAACTTAGCTGTGATGAAGCAAAGGAAGTTCCATGCACAAAATTTACCCTTGTTTTGGATAGCGGTCAGGAAACTGAAATGTCAAGTTGTGGGAAATTGACTTGAAGTTGTGGCATGTGGCCGGACCACCACAAATTGCTTTGGGCTCTTTGGAGCTGCCGTCAGAGTGGGCTCTATTTAAACCGTATCCTCCTGGCTCATCTTTGATTCCGAGGACCTCTCATGTTTGAATCCAATTATTAAGTCTGTAGTAAATCCTGCTCTTTGCCAGAAGAGCTATGGTCAGCTTTTATAGCTTTCCTTTTATGTCCTAAACAAATAATAAATGTGCATAGTGGCTTACCATCTGCACATGTGCAGCTTCATATGTCTTATGAAGAAAGTATATTCTGCATACATTCTTTCTTTGAAGTGCACTGGCATTTTTTATTTAATGATTTGAAAGATTGTTTTTTTTTTCTTTTTCCTGAGAGAGCAAGGCTACATTTTCAGGTTAACATTTCTTTGTATTTTTAATGCGTAGTGGTTGACAGAAAACCTACTTGTAGTAGTCCAAACCCAATTTCTGGTCTCGGCATTACAAATAGTAACTGTGTGATCTTAGAGAAAGTACTTGGCTTCTTTGTGCCTTAGTATGCTTGTTAAATATGCAGTACTTTATAAAAGGAGGGGATTAAAATTGATTTCTGGGTTCTTTTCTGCTACAAATAATACTACCTTGCCTTTAGATAGCATTCTATATGCATATATGCTCATATATATCTATATCTATATCGATATCTATATACATGAGGTCATCATAATACTTTGTTATTTTAAACTGTTTCCTCATACATTGCTTCCTATATTTTCAAAATTTCTCACTGATGTTTTGTAATATATATAATGCCTTGAAAAACTCTTCGGGTATCTTTTTCTTTTTAATATTTTGTGTAAGTTGCTTTGTCTCATGTTTCTGAACAGTCTTGTGAAGTGGTTCTTGCTGAACCTCCCTCACAAATGAGATGATTTGCTTAGAGTTATGGGGCCATAGAACCAAGAGCCAAGCCCAAGCTTTCTGATAGTTGGTGCTATATTTTCTCTTTATCCCTCCTAAGTCCTGTTTGATGTATTAGTCCATGAAGAAGTCAAGAGAGAAAAAAATAAAAAGAGGCTAGAGTTCTCCATTTGTTGGTAAGGCATAGGACTGACAAAGATTAAATAAATATGAGCTTTTCCCTCACAAATCACAGTGATTCTGATCTCAACTGGAGGGTATGAAGCATTTCAGTGAATTTCAGCTTGTTTGGTCCTAAAGGCTAAAACATAGAAAAAGAACACCCGGGAATCTCTGTTCTGAGGGATAAAGGCCTTCTACACAAGCTTCCATTAGGTTTTTGAATAGGTACAATGAATAAATTAGTGCCATATGCTACTTGAGATTAAAGTGCATAATTTACTTTGAATGGTTAACAATTCCACGTGAGAAAAGACATTTATTTGATAGGACGCTTCTATGCTTTTAATATGTTTATCTGTTGTGTTAAGATAGACTGAGCTACAGTTTTTTATTCATCATCTGAAGAAATGCAGCCATTGTCTCCCAAGGAATTAGCTTTGAGTTCTTTACAAAGCAACAGGAGCTCATTTCCAGGTTGTTTGTTTTGCTTAGAATGCATGGAATCACAAGCCCTGCCCTCTGAGTGTTCAGGCACTCAGAGGCCCAATTCTGCTACCTCTGAACATTTGTCTCCTTTTCTCTGCTGTCATAAAAGAAAGGGATGCAGATTCCACTCTGACTCTCCCAAATCCTCTTTTCTCAAACAAAAAGGAGACCTGTCTTCTCTACAGGCTACTTTAGGCTCCAGGAATTCGAATGAATTTTGAATACTTCCATTGACTTGTACTGCAACATGAAATCATCAAATTCATGTAACAGTCATTTTACTTTGAGTTTGCAGGGAGCTACCAGACTTTGAGATAATTGAAAACTTTGGATGATTTGTGCAGAATAGTCCCACATCTGTTTTCTGAGGTTACCTTCCAAGACCTCTCCAGTAGGTGCCTGGAGTTGCAGATAGTAGTAAACCCTAAATATAATATGTTTTTCTCTATTGTACATGCATATCTATGATAAAGTTTAATTTACATATCAAGCACAGTAAGAGATTAACAATAATGACTGATAAGAAAATGCAGCAATCATAACAACATCGTATAATAAAATTATATGAGTATGGTCTCCTTCTCTCTTGGGTCTGTACTCACCCTTCTTCTTGTGGGGGGGGGGGGGGGGGGGGGGGTCGGGGGGGTGTGGGGGGGGGGGGGGGGGGGGGGGGGGGGTGGGGGGGGGGGGGGGGGGGGGGGGGGGGGGGGGGGGGGGGGGGGGGGGGGGGGGGGGGGGGGGTGGGGGGGGGGGGGGGGGGGGTGGGGGGGGGGGGGGGGGGGGGGGGGGGGGGGGGGGGGGGGGGGGGGGGGGGGGGGGGGGGGGGGGGGGGGGGGGGGGGGGGTGGGGGGGGGGGGGGGGGGGGGGGGGGGGGGGGGGGGGGGGGGGGGGGGGGGGGGGGGGGGGGGGGGGGGGGGGGGGGGGGGGGGGGGGGGGGGGGGGGGGGGGGGGGGGGGGGGGGGGGGGGGGGGGGGGGGGGGGGGGGGGGGGGGGGGGGGGGGGGGGGGGGGGGGGGGGGGGGGGGGGGGGGGGGGGGGGGGGGGGGGGGGGGGGGGGGGGGGGGGGGGGGGGGGGGGGGGGGGGGGGGGGGGGGGGGGGGGGGGGGGGGGGGGGGGGGGGGGGGGGGGGGGGGGGGGGGGGGGGGGGGGGGGGGGGGGGGGGGGGGGGGGGGGGGGGGGGGGGTGGGCGGGGGGGGGGGGGGGGGGGGGGGGGGGGGGGGGGGGGGAGGGGAGAGT